AAAAAAATTGTTTATATTTTAATACACAATTCTAACATAAACCAATGATTTTCTTTGTCAATTTGAAAAGTAAAAAAATATTTTAATAAGTAAAATTTGTTTTTTGAACATTAATAAGTAATATTTGTTTTATTTTTTTATTTTTTTTGAACAGTTTTGTCATGGGGCGGGTTCGAAACCCACCCAGAAGAAGGGGATGTGCACTTTTCAGTGGCTCTAGCCACTGGGCCACACGGGCCAAGTGCAATAAGTAATATTTGTTATTCTTTAATAATAAATTAATATTAATAATTTAGTATAAATATTTTTAAAAAAGAAGATAATAAATAATTTTTATTTAATTGATTTTCATTTTTTATAATATCTCATATTAAATTTATTTTCCTAGCCTTTCTCATTATCACCAAAAATAATTTTCAACAGTACCAATACTAGAAAATAATTGAAATGATATGAAATAAATAAAGATAAAAAACACTAAAAATAAAACATAAAAGACCAAACTAAACTTTTTACAAAAGTTTAAGGGGGCTACTCCTCAGGTCCCCTTGTCTCTGTCAGTCGGTGATAATACGCCCTAACCAACGCAGGGAGCGCTGAGCGCGATGATTCCTTGTTAAACAATCTTATTTTAACGTATGTAATGATGGACTTACAATCTGGGTTAGGCCCTCTCTTTACCAGCCTCCTTCTCACGCAGTTTATTGTCACGTTTAAAAGTACTATTAGGTTCACTCAGATATTATTATTATTAACATATGCTGTTTGACTCACATATTGTTATTATTAACATATGCTGTTTTACTGATTAGATTATTTTAGATTATAAAATAAAGATTTTTATATAAAGAGAGGAAGATAATATTAAGAGATTTTATCTCTCATTTAATATCATTATTTTATAATTTTAAACGGTTTAAATTAGAAATTTTTATTATTATTTATAAATAATTAGTTATTATATTAAAAAATATTAATTTATATTTTAATCTTAATTTGTTACATAATTAATATTACTTCTTTTATTAACTTTTAGTATATTTAATTTAACTTTTTAATTTTTTTTAAACATAAATTTTAAATAAAAATTTAATATATTAATATAAACTATAATTAAAAAGTTATATAAGTTGCTAAATTTTTTAATTTTTATATTTAAAAAATAAAAAAAATTAAACTAAATCTACCAAAAATGAGTAAAAAAAGTAGTTATTTTGTCATTTATTAACTATTTTTAACAGTAAAATTATTTGAATTAATATTTTAAAATACAATATATTAAAAAAAATTTAATTTGTGTCATTAATACATATGTTAAAAGTGTAATAAATATATATTTTTGTTATAAATTTGTTTGAAAGAATAAATATTACTTTTTAATTTATCAAGTATTGAATTAAGTTTATACACATGTCAATAAATCTAAAGTAAATATTAAGTTTTTTTATTTTTTTATACAAATTACAAATAATAAGAAGGGAATCATGTTTTACTATTTAAACTGTATTTAACTATAAAGCAAAAATTATTAGATAGATAA